CCTTTGCCGATTGTGCTCTATCCTTTCCCTGTAATAAATCATGGCTGTGAGTACCACTGTGTGCTGAGTCCTGGGAGTTTTCCTAGTGAAACATTGAAGCTGGGGGTGGTCAGGGGGACTCCTGATTCAACCTGTAACTTGGAATTGCAGACTTTTGTTATAAGAACACAAGTAGATTGGCAGCTAAACAATAGCAGCTTCATTTGTCATTGCAAGTATACTTGGTGTGATACAACTTGGGTGGATGGGGAGGTAAAATGGGGAAGGGGGTTGGGTTGCCTGTTGGAAAAGGCAATCCACATAGGTATATATTCTGGAGAAGTTTACAAGGCAGATAATGGCAAGAGGTAATGTATTCTGGAGAATTTTGCAAGGCAGATAATGATAATGGTAATCCTTCTGGATTGCACACTAGTTACCGTTGTCCCAACAACGTGGTATTAATTGTGCACATACGCCCATAAATGTTTCGCTCTTTTAATTTGTATATGGTTGGGTGTAAAGCTCTAAAGTAACGATTAGGTGCTTATAGACTTCTTGATTACTTTCCCAGTGGAGGAAGTGACTGTTTTTCAGATGAGATTATACTACCAAATGGCTTTTTAAAAAATCTTTATTGTGCATGTGATGTTTCTTCCAGAGATGTGTTACATCAGAATTTTGAGAGTTATAAGCCTGAGGTACAAGAACTGATTTGTGTAGCGGATCGTTTGGGATCACTAATGCAATACGAAACACCTGGTTTCCTGCCAAACAAGAGAATACACAGAGGTATTCTGAAAACTCTCTAGAATTGGAAATATTTCCGCTATAAGAGCAAGGATTATCAAACTGTGTCATGTTTTGTTTTTTGTTTTTGTTGGTAAATTACATATTGAGCTTACTCAAACTCTGCATTTGATCAGAACAGAAATGTAAGAATCCTTCTTCACCTGAATTCTGGAAATTCTGTTCCAGCCTGTCTTTTTGCTGTTGCTGTAGTTTGGCTGTAGAATATAAATCTTAGGCAGTTACTACATATCAGACAGCAGACCCATGTGATCTGCAGGAGGGAGGAAGAATTCGAACCTCCACTGGCTTCAGTAGGAGGCAGAATTGGGAGGAGACCACCTTGGGAGTGTCTCTAGTGTCATCTGGACCATTGCAGCTGAACAGTATCTCAGATCTTCTTACATTATCAATAGTTTCTTCATATGATAACTCTTGAATTATCACTGAGACTCTTTACTGAGGAAAATGTAAAGTAGGTGAAATTGCCTCTCAGAGTGTACCAGTTAGCTCTGTTTTCTCCATATTTCTTGACTTTTAGCCATGGGCTTGGCAGCACTGGAAGTCATGCAGGCTGTACAGCGCACCTGGACCAACTCAAAGGTGCGAATGAATGGGAAAACGCGGCTGATGCAATGGAGAGACATGTTTGACATTGCAGTTAAATGGAGAAGGTAATATTTAAGTGAAAGTAAAGTCAAGGCGTGTTCTTGTACAATAATGTAAGTCTCATCTAATTAAAAGGTTTTGATGCTTGTGTTGTTTACTAACCATGTTGTTGTTGTTGTTAGGTGCCATCGAGTCGATTCCGACTCATAGCGACCCTATGTACAACAGAACGAAACACTGCCTGGTCCTGCGCCATCCTCACAATCACTGTTATGCCTGAGCCCATTGTTACAGCCACTGTGTCAATCCATCTTGTTGAGGGTCTTCCTCTTTTTCACTGACCCTCTGCTTACCAAGCATGATGTCCTTCTCCAGGGACTGATCCCTCCTAATAACATGTCCAAAGTATGTGAGATAAAGTCTTGCCATCCTTGCTTCTAATGAGCATTCTGGCTGTACTTCTTCCAAGACATATAGATTACATTTTTCTCTCTAAAGTTTGTCAGAAATTGCTCACATCTTTATTCTTTCAAATATACTCAACTAATGTTTATGAAATAGGAATTGATCATTGTTTCTAAGCACATTTCTGAATGAATTATTTTGGAAAAAGTTGTCTCCTTGAATTTCGGTGTACAGGTCCCTTTATCTTTGAAGAGTGCCTGGCTAACCAGTTACAGTTTGGGGGGAGCCTCTGATACTCATTTTCATGAGAAAAACAATGCTCTACCAGTAAGCCTTTCTGGGCTTCTCAGTTGGTCCAGTTGGAACATCTGTTTGGGACTTGTTGGCCTGTGCTTTATATTTTTAGATGTAATGGACTCAGCAGTTGCATTCTCTTTAATTTTGCAAAGACTTCTGTATGTGGTTTTTTTTTTAATGCATTTGAATATTTATAGGTTTCATAAGGTCTTCATCTGTAACAAGCTCTATTTTGTAGGATTGCTGATCCTGACCAGCCTGTGCTGTGGTTAGATCAAATGCCAGCACGAAGTCTCAGCAGAGGTTTTAATAACCACATCAATTTAATCAGGTATAAATATTTGGGCATCTTTCCTGTTCTTATGGGAGTTTATTCTAAATAGACAGGCCGTGGAGAAGGTGAGTGATCCACTGCTCCTTTTGTTGGCTCTTTGATGTGGGAATGCATAGACCTACCTGCAGTTCTTCCAGCCAACCTGGCTACATAAAGAAATACAGGCTGTCCTCCTTCCCAAGGCTCTTCTCTTAGAGGCAGAGCTCAGTTGAAGGGTAGACTGCCAGGTCGTTGCCTAAGGTATCAGTCCTAAAGCATCATGGAAAGTAATTAGATGGAGAACGTAACATTTACCATAACTCTTTCTGATAATACTGTTTACTGAAAGAAGTTTTTCGACCAGTCTGTTGTGGTAAGGGAAAGACACTCCCCCCTCCAACACAATACGTACCCATAGGGCTTGGATAAATAACAATATCTGGTCATTAAGCTTCTTCTAGAGAGGGCAAGTAAGTCCATTAACTGTGGAGCTTTTGTTTTGTCAAGAGGATGTGCAAGTTGGGGAAATGGTTGAAATGTTTACCTCTTTAGCCTTCCCTTCATATGCTTGTTCTTGTTGTTGTTGCGTGCCCTGGAGTCTATTCCTACTCACAGTGACCTTATAGGACAGAGTAGAACTGCCTTATAGGGTTTTCAAGCCTGTGATCTTTACGGAAGCAGACTGCCACATCTTTCTCCCACGCAGTGGCTGTGGGTTTAGAACTACTAACCTTTTGGTTAGCAGCCGAGGGCTTAACCACTGCACCACTAGAGCTCCTGACTGACACGCAAACCCACCCACTGCTGTCGAGTCAATCCTGACTCATAGCGACCCTGTAGGGTTTCCAAGGCTATAAATCTCTGTGAAAGTAGACTGCTACATCCTTCTTCCGTGGAGCTGCTGGTGGTTTCAAACTGCCAACCTTTCAGTTAGCAGTCGATTGCTTTAACCACCGTGCCACCATGGCTTCTTGACTGACACACAGTTGCCTTCAATTAAAGCTAGCTGAGTAGGTAAGCATGTCTGGGGGTGGAGCTGGACAAGGTGTGGTATGGGGAAGTAAATTTCCTATTTGACAATTCTGAACTTGAGGCTTGAGATGCCCATGGGACCCTAGAGAGTGCTGTCTGGTGTGCACATGACTCATCAGCATGCTGGTGGTAAATGAAGTGCTGGGACAGAGAGTGTCCAGTAAAAAAGAAAAAGAAAAAAAAGGATAGAAGTGTGAGGAAAATAATATTTTGGGCAGAGAGAGGAAGTGAAGACTGCTAGTTAGCTAGAGAGCAAGAAGGAGCATTAGCAGGTAACAATATCAGGAGACCCCATGGAGAGGAGAAAGATAAGTTGTCGAAAAAGTAAAGGCATACATAAAAGGAAATTGGCATACAAGTCTGAACCTCATTTAAGCACTTGAGAATCTTTCTTCCCATTCTGGTATATCTGGAGTCTGCACGGTACGGGCAACCATTTGGTGCCTTCCCTCCAGGATAGCTGCAAGATCCAACACACAGCCCTGCTCAGACAGAACTTTACCTCTCCTCCGGTCCTTGGCTGTGAACATGCAGATTTCCCAAACGTCTTTGCTATATTATTCTCATCAGCTTTCTTATTCTTGTATTTTCAAAAATAACTTAAAATTAGATCGTCTTTTGAACGTATTCCTTTGTAAAAAGAGTCTGAATTTTATTGTTGGTTTGTTTGTTTTTCCTTACAGGGGTCAGGTGATTAACATGAGATACCTGGAATATTTTGAGAAAATACTTCATTTTATTAAAGATAGAATTCTTGTTTATCATGGGTAATTCTTCAGTTTTCTTTTTCATAGTACTTAATTGATTTCATTATGTTTTTCCATTTGTTATATTTACTTCAAAAACTAAGGCCATGGACACACTAAACAAAATGCATCAAATTTTTAGGTAATGTTTAGAATCAAAAAGCCTTTCATAATCACTTGTTAACCTTCTTTTTAATAGCTTCATGAAATCCATGGACCCCAGCTGAATGTTTTTAACTTTATAGTCAGTAGTGTGACTTTTCTGGTCTCTTTTCTCCAGAAAGCAAGATGTTTCTTTGAATTTACCTATTATGGGTTTCAGCCTTAATGTTCAATCTCTCCGCATTGAAAAGCAGTATGGTATAGACAGAACAGTGAGCAGAACACTAGGGGAAAAAGAATCTGAATGGTTAGTTGTCACCAAATAAATATAAAACTGGTTTAAACACCCAGCGGGAAACTTCTGTTTGGGCGACTTTAGAAAGAAAAAACACATTTACTTCTGATTTCAAAGTTGATATAGGAGAATCAAGGCTTTATAACCAAACCCAAGCCAGTAGGTGTATACACGCAAACACTGGCTGTCAATTCATTCTCCTTTTCCTTGCTTCCACCTTCTAGATGGATTGCTGTTGATTTCTTTAATTCTTATCTGCAGCCCCAGAATCATTAAGATTAAGGCATTCCGTGATTTAAAAACTTTAGTTGTGGTCCATCATTTTAAATACTGAGTTACTCATAATTAAGGAAAATTCCTTTAAATTAATAGCGTAACTAGCTATTACATTTCTGCATTAATCTCAGTTGCCACCTCTCTCTCTTTCTTTTCTTTTTAAGAGCTAATAATCCTAAAGGATTGTTAGAGGTTAGAGAAGCTCTGGAAAAGGTACACAAAGTAGAAGACCTTCTTCCAATTATGAAGGTAAATTCATCAAAAATTCAGTAAATGTTTTTAGGGGGAAAAAAACTACAGTGCTTTTTAAAAAGAACTCCTAATTGTTAAATGCATGTTTATTAACATTGTGTCATAAATGTTTTAAAATGCATACTACCTGAAAACACTAATATGAATATACTCTGAGTAATAGCGAAAAGAAAATGAAACACAGGCATCAGACTCAAACAGAAGAACTAATATGTGAGGAAATAGTGAAGGAAACAGAAGAAAACTTACAAATACATATAATCGAAGGCCCCTGGGTAGCACAAATGGTTGTGCTCAGCTACTAACCGAAGGTTGGTGGTTTGAATCTACCCAGCAGAGGCCGTAGAAGAAGGCCTGGCCATCTACTTCTATAAGACTTACAACCATTAGGGGGAGAAAAGAGTATACATATTTGACTTCTGCCTCTGCCCACCATGGAATAACTGGTATTAGACGACCCTTCCACACCATAACAGTTATAAAACTGGACAATATACTGAGCAGCTGTTTCAGGCATTGGACAATCACAAGACCACATCAAGCCCAGATTCTTTCTGTCAAAATGTTTCAAGGATGTACTTTCACAAAATGAATCCGAGAAAAGAGAAAACATGAGATATAAGAAATGGTGGTGAACAAAGAAATCAGTGAAATGTATTGTTAATGCATAATGTTGAAAAACAGAAATGTAAGCTGAAATTAAAATACTAGATAAATTTCAACATTAGAAATTGAGGAAAGTGGAGAAAGGAAGTAAAAATGTACTGTGGTTCTTGTTTTGTCTGTGAGAAAATATTACTGACTAACCCATGACATTGATAGAAAAATACAAACACAAAAATTTGAAGGTAAATACTGAAGAATACTAAACGCCTATAAGATAGGAAAATGGAATAATGAAAACAATCATTTCCAATCAAAGGCTTGCAGAAAGAGGAGAAAGAACAGTAAGGTGAATAGGAAATGTAATGGCAGTGACAAGTCCCAACATACCATTAATAATAAGCAATCCCCTTATTGAAAAACTAAGGATCTCAGATTGGTTTTTAAAAGCCCAGCTATCTGCTCTCTACGTGAGATAAAGGAAAATGATATTTACAGAATTAAAGGGGAAAAGGTATAACAGACAAATGCTAATGAGAAGAAAAATAGGAATGGCCATGTCAATATGGAAACATTTGAATTCAAGGTAAAGGGCTCTACAAGGGACAAAAATTATATGGGTTAAAAGTATAATCCATTGAAAAGTTATAACTTTATGAGTCTTTTATCCACCTGAGAATATACTACTCAAAAATGTGCTCATGGCAGATAGATTTCCTTTTCCAAGTAACGATTTGAACTTTAATATAAAACTTGAATAAATGTTCTCTTTGTAGCTATAGTGGATAAGATTGATTTATACCAAATAAAATGTCAGAAGTTTATATGAATAATCACAGCATATACATTTCTAAGGATAAACAGGAAGCCATTGCAGTGAACAGAGCATCTCACTAAGCATCTGTGAGCCAGCGTCTGCATCTGCCTGAGCTTGGCCAAGTCATGGACGAGGCTGAGTCCCAGGTGCTCATCTGCTAAGGAGCAGTGATTCTGGCCAGACCTACCTCAGGAGCTATTGTCAGAGTCTGATAAACTAGTGCAGTGTTTCACAACGTTCCCAAACCCACTGTATTAACTCATCAAATGTGCTTGAATGCACTCTTTACTACACTAAGATGATATTTTCAGAGAGTATCACCTTCTTACTCCAAAAATTCCACCCCCCAAAAAAAATACCCTAAAGGAGTTATAAAAGGCCAGTAGCTTATGATATGGTGACGTATATTTCAGTATGTCAGCATGCAGCATGCCTTCACTAAAATCATAAAAGAAGTAGTTATTTGCTTGCCCCCTATATGTAAAATCATGGTGAATGGGACAGCCTTCTATACGTGTCTCATACTGGTGACACAGGAGCTACGTAGTGATTGGTGTCATGGGTTTCTGAAATGGTGAACGATTTTTAGTAAAGTTCCAAACTATGTATAATACAGTCCTCCCTCAATTTATATGCTGTTTGTGTTCCTGGAAAATTCAGTGTATATTAAAACTGTAAAAAATACTTAGTGTATAAAATGTAGAACAGAGCAGGGCCTACACCTAGGTGAACAGGCTCTCCATCTACACGAATGTCCCATGGGCACTGGAGAGCCATGTGCGCTGTATGTGCACTGTATGGCCATCCCCTGCATTGTGGAGCTTCTAGGAGTCTTGGCCCCTACCTGCCAAGTTCTAGTGATACCCCACCCACCTGATCACTAACAGCCAGAATGCTCCCCTAAGTTCCCAGAGTGTCCCCCAGAGGGCAGAATGGCTTTGCTGAGGCCCCTGGGATGTACTGCAGAGAGAAAACTGGAATGTGTCTCAGAGTTTTTAAACTGCTTTTCTGTGGTTATTTTAGGCATTTAAATTTACCATGGCATTAGGCAGAATAAAAAATAAGCTTATATATGTCTTGTTTAAAAGGAAAACTAAAGATAGTCTGTAAGATTGGTCATTTAGAGCACAGCCTGAGAGAAGGTGGACATGCTGTCTCTGTGCCCTTGTTAGTATGAAATCTCTGATGGTTTAACCATGTTATCTGAAAGATGGCAGGGATTACATTACCACTTCCACACTTTACTAGCTTTAACCCAGGATTATGAATATGTGTAAGGGTTGTATCCTTTCACTGTACTTATTCAATCCATATGCTGAGCAAATAATCCAAGAAGCTGGACTATATGAAGAAGAACAAGGCATCAGGATTGGAGGAAGACTGTAACAACCTGCAATATGCAGATGACACAGCCTTGTTTGCTGAAAGTGAAGAGAACTTGAAGTACCTACTGATGAAGATCAAAGACTACAGCCTTCAGTATGGATTACACTTTACCGTAAAGAAAAAAATCCTCACTACTGTACCGGTAAGCAACACAATGATAAATGAAGAAAATGTTAAAGTTGTCAAGGATTTCGTTTTGCTTGGATCCATAATCAACACCCAATGAAGCAGCAGTCAGGAAATCAAATGATGCATTGCACTGGACAAATCCGTTGCAAAAGACCCCTTTGAAGTTAAAAAGCAAAGATGTCACCTTGAGGACTAAGGTGTGCCTGACCCAAGACATGGTATTTTCAGTCGCCTCATATGCATGCAAAAGCTAGACAATGAAAAAGGAAGACTGAAGAAGAATTGATGCGTTTGAATTATGGTATTGACAAAGAATGTTGAAGGTACCACGGACCGCCAGAAGAACGAACAAATCTGTCTTGGAGGAAGTACAGCCAGAATGCTCCTTAGAAGCAAGGATAGTGAGACTTTGTCTCACATACTTTGGACATGTTATCAGGAGGGACCAGTCCCTGGAGAAGGACATCATGCTTGGTAAAGTAGACGGTCAGTGAATAAAAGGAAGATCCTCAGTGAGATGGATTGACACAGTGGCTACAACAGTGGACTCAAACATAGCAATGATTGTGAGGATGGCACAGAACAGGGCAGTGTTTCTTTTGCTTGTGCATGGGGTCGCTGTGAGTCAGAAGTGACTTGACGACACCTAACAACGACATGAATATATTGGTAATTTAAAAGACACACTTAGAAGTATAGAAAACAAAGTATTTTTGTGTTTAAAGTGCTTAGTAAAGTATGACACTGCAACACCCTCCACAGAAAATGTGCAATGTACTCTCGATGGAAAACCAAGTTCAGATGCACTTTAGATCCCCTAGAGGCAGCTTATTAGAAGATAATGTAGACTGTGGAGTCATAAAAGCCTGAATTTAAATTCTTACTCTGCTGTTTCCCAGCTCTGTAACTCAGGTCAGGTACTTAATGTCACCGAGTTTGTTTCATCTGTAAAATCGAGATCATACCCTGTTTTACAAGTATGTTACGAGATTAAATGAGCATTGGTGTATCGTTAGTGTTTAACAAAGCTTTTCCTTCTCCCTCTCTGTGTATTCTTTATAAAAATCATATTTTTCGTGACAGATACTCCATTTCAGTTCCTGCTGCTGGTTCCAAGTGCCTGAGCCATCAGCTTACATCGCCTTGTCCACCCCTGTCCTTCTCTGGGCCTGCAGTGGACACCTGATCTGTCTTGCTCGTTTTAGAATTTAAGGAGCACATTTTGGGGGCAATGACAGAAGCTATTATTGGCATTTCAGTTTTGTTGCAAATATTTTAAACAAAAAGTTGACATTTGATACTTTTGGTTTAAGGCTTAAAGGTTAACCCAAAAATATCTCCTGAAGTCTTCTTGAAACCAAACAATAGTTTAGCTTCCCTAGTAAAAAAATGTCTGCCTTGAGCATTGTGCTCTTTTAAGAACTATCTGTATGGGAGCCAATTGATAATAGCAGCCTGAAAGATTAGATAGGAATCTTAGGGGACAGTGAGTGTATGTTAATGGGAGAGGAACCACTCAGAAAAGGAGGGTGAGAATGGTTGCACAACTCGAAGAATGTAATCAGTGTCACTGAATTGTACATGTAGAAACTGTTGAATTGGTGTATATCTTGCTTTGTATATTTTCAACAACAATAACAAAATAAATAAAATTGAAAAAAGGAAAGTTGACTTCTGATACTGCCCGATGCTCATCTGTTCTGAGGGCCATTCTTACAGCTGTACCATCCCCTTAACATACTCTGTGGTCTGCAGAATCTGAGCCAGCCTGTGTGTAAACAGCATTCTCCAGTGGGTGAATATAATCCTGAGTACTTTTCAGAAAAATCATAATAGACCCAAACCTACTTTGAAGGAACACTAACATGAACATAAGTTGGTTTTTGAGTTACAGGATATTGGGGACAACTGCTCTACTACAAATCAAAGTTGCTGCTTAGCCAGATAAATGATGTGAATAACAAAAACCAAAAAAGCTGGCAGAAGTGAGCAGAACACTTTGTTGGTTAGGAGAGCTCAGCACATTTTGTGCTGAGGGCCTCTTCTGGATGCCAGCAGGGGTCACAGGGAGTGTCCCTGGCGCTGTCAGAGTTTGTGCTGGGCATGAGGACGGTAGAGGCGTCCTCCGTAACCAGCTGCTGAGACGGAGCACACGGTCTTGTACATCAGGTGACTTCTGTGATTCTTCTTAAACACGTCCAAGTTGGAGCCAGCACTACAGAAATGGCAGATGGGGTTTGTAGTGAATTATAGACTAGGAACGTTAATTTTTTTTTTTTTTCCCTGAAAGCAGTTTAATACTAAAACGAAGGATGGGTTCACTGTGAACACAAAAGTCCCCAGCCTCAAAGATCCAGGGAAGGAATATGATGGATTCACAATCACTATTACAGGAGACAAGTATGTGTGCGTCCTCGGTGTGGGGATGGAGTAGGGGCTCATTGCCAGAGTGTGCGTGTGCACGGTCTCGCCGAGGAGAGCGTCATAGTGGGCATTTGCTCTTATCCTGAAATGAAAATGATCAAGCTCCAGTATGCAGCTACAACCAGTTATCTTTTGGACATGAGACCTAGGGTATCACACTGGCAGATAAATTCTCTGACTGTGCTAAATCTAACAACTTTCTAGATCTTTAAGTACAATGTCTGCTAAAATTTGTAGAAAGCATTCTTCTGGATTCTTGAAGTTTCAAAAGGCTTTTACTGATAAAATGGGAAAAGATGGGACATTGGCAAACTGAAGCCATTGTAAAGTTTTGGTTTGTTTTTGTAATATAGGTTTTAATGTATTATAAGAGTAATGCACTCTTACTGTAAAAAATTTAGAATATATAGAAAAGCAAAACTAAAAAGTAAAAATCATTATTTTCTTTAAAAAAAATGCGATTATACTATCCATATTGTTTTGTAACCTGTTTTTTTTTTTAACCCTTTCCATTGCTTTATCGTGAACATTTTCCCATGTCATATTCTTATAAACATTTTTAATCATTGCATAGTATTCCATTGTATGGATGTTGAAGAGATCTTCCTACTGATTTTTTGTTATTGACCATTTAGGGAGTTTCCCTTTTTTTTTTTTTTTTTTTAACTTTGTAAATAACACTGCAGTGATCATCTTTATTAACTATACATTTATATATATATATCTAATATACAGACAAGGATCCCTGGTGGTGCAGTGGTTAAGTGCTTGGCTGCTAACCGAAATTTCATCGGTTTGAACCCATCAGCCGCTCTGCGGAGTAAAGATGTGGCAGTCTACTTCTGTAAAGATTTACAACCTTGGAAACCCTATAGGGCAGTTCTACTCTGTCCTACAGGGTCGCTATGAGTCAGAATTGACTCAACAACAATGGGTTTGGGTTGGGATATCCCAGCTTCATCTAGGAGCCTCCATATCCTTTGAATTTTAGGTGGAATTACCTTGAGATCTCCTCTCCCTTCTTCCCCTCCCCCACACACATTCCTCAGTTCCATAGCCTGTGGAAGGTCAAAGCCTTCCCAATGATTCCTGCCAATTCAGTGATCTGGGTATAACTTACATTCTCCTGGCCCCTCTGTCTCTTGGGCTTTGCCTTTTTCATGTGGTTTTCTCTTTCAAACAACAGGGAACCTCTCCATTAGGTTACGTGTCAGAACTTATTCATATATACACACCAGTTTAACAACTTTCAAATTGTGTTGCTTTTCCATATTTTTGAGGTCTTGATCTCTAGCCTAAGCCACTTAATCAGAGTACTTTGTCAGTTACAGTACTCTCTCCCAAAAAGGAATTTCAGGGTTGGCTGTTAAAGTAAACATTTCTCCTGCCTTTTTATACATCTATGATGTATATCCTCAGATTAAGTTCCCAGGCAGAAATAGAAGTTCTGAATAAAAGAGTATATAAAATCCCTTCTTTCTTCAACTGTCCTCACCCCATTCATTGCCGTGCATAGTGTTTCTTTCATTCCCTTGCCCTTGGTCTGGGCCTCATAACCTCTCGCAGAGACTCATACTTGATCTCCGCACCCCCTGCCCATCTGTGGGTCACCACCACATTAATGTTCCTAAAGCTTTACTCTGTTGGACAGTCCCCCAGGACCAAAGAGCACTTTCCCCTCTCCATACCCTGCTGTTGTCTGTAGGTACCAAAACCAGCACCTCTGCTGGTCATTCAAGGCCTTCTACAGTGTGACCTCAGGCAGTATTTCCAGCTTTACACCTTGCACCATTTTCCTGTAGGAGTCTGGCCTGATAATCAGACTGGACTGCTTGTTGCTCCCCAGGTTCACCTCCCACTTCTCCATTTCCAGGCTTCTGGTCATCCCGTCTCTGTTCTTCAGGACCCATCTTCAGGCCACATCTTCTATGAAGCATTTCCTGTTCTTTATTCCATGTCTTCCAAATTAGATGTAGTTGCTCCCTCATTTGAACCCCTAATGAACTGTTACAGTGCTAAACATGGTCTCATAATAATGTGTGGCCTTGCTACTCCCTCCCTTACTCAATGAAGGCAACATCTGTGCCATGCTTTTCTTCATAGCATCAAAGGACTTTATATCTTCCATAGAGCTAAAAAGCATGAAGCAGAAGCTTACTTTTAAAAAGTGTACTTCCTGAACTTTCTTCATAACAGTTCTTGCTCCTGATTTTCAATTGTAATGGGATAACTGTCTGAAAAAATATTTACTGGCCATTTAGACTCATTCTTTACTATGTATACTTGTTTTCCCCTGTATTAGCTTAAGCTCATATAAATATATATAGTTGGACTAAGCCAGATGACAGCCTTTATATCACATTTTATGGAATAATTGCATATGTAGGAAACATACCTTACTATCTATAACTAAAAAGGTAGGATATATTCTTAGATCTGTTTAGTGCCACATCAGCATGCTATTTACTTTTTCTTTTTTTACTGTCTGTCTTTGGCTCTTTGAATTGTATAATATGTGCCTTTGACACTCATTCTTGTTTTTTTAGAGTTGGTAATATACTGTTTTCTGTGGAAACACAAACCACAGAAGAAAGAACACAATTATATCATGCTGAAATAGATGCACTTTATAAAGATCTGACAGCAAAAGGGAAGGTATTGATTCTCTCATCAGAATTTGGGGTGAGTTCTTGTTTATTTCTGTTTTATCCTCTCTTCCTGTGATTTCTTTTATAAAATTTTAAAATCTCTACCATTTCGTTACAATTGAACATATTATACTTGATATCAGTTTTAATTGACCTGTAAGTATTTCTTTTTTAATATTCTTATGGGAAAAAAAAAACTTAGTAACTACAGTAATTGGGGGGAGATGATAAATTTATTTAGTTGGAAACTATGTGTACTATGTTATATATATTACCATAAGTTTGATCTTCAACGAGATTTAAATGACAAAGTTGGTCCATAATGAAAATGCCTAAGCTTCCCCTTTATCTTTTATGTTCTTCCCATCACAGTGGTTGTTGCTTATAGTCATGTTTTGTAGTGACCTTTTGAACTTAAATCTTACGATACATTTAATTTGGCAGTGAAAGTAGACTGAGGTTATGGTGCTTTGCATCTAGCAGCCCCTTCCTACCCTGTAGCCTCTACCCTTGGTTGCCTGCCTTGCCTTGGAGCAGGCTCTCTGTCATGTTCACCTCGGGTGTCTCTAGCATTCCGCTGTGCCTGCCGTGTGGTAGGTGCGCCACCCACTGTGTTCCTGCAGAGGTGCCTGGCGCCCTGGGAATGTCACCTCAGTTCTCTCACTGGCACCCCTTCATACGTATAGCTAAGGATCTGAGCTTATATATACATAATTAAGTGTATTTATCACCTAAACCTCAGTGTGAAGTAGGGGCTTACCAGAATCTTCTGGGGTAGGGATGTATGTAGTTTGAGGAATCATGTTCGGTATTAATAAGTGCTTTGTTTTATTTTAATCACAATATATACTTTGACATCTTAAATAACATTAAAGGAAACAGATTTTTATGTTTATCAGAAGAAGTCGAAGTTTAAAAAAACAACTGGGAAAATAGTGCTCTAAATCGAACTGTATGTATACCCTATCATTGGACAAAATGATACAAAAGAGTAAGAATATTCAAGAATGTAAAAAGTCGAGTCTTGTAGAGGAGGAAAGAAACAATCTTTTCTTGATGTAAATGGTTGTTATGTGTCTAATTACCTATAAAAATTTAGTTTATAATCTAATCTTTAAGTTAATGAGCATGTGGTTTTTTTTCCTAGGAGGCTGATGCTGTTTGTAACTTAATCTTATCCTTAGTTTATTACTTTTATAATTTAATGCCACTCTCTCGAGGATCCAGGTGAGTGTTATTCTATAATTAAAAACTTTTTTTTTTTAAATTTAAAAATTTGGTCCTTTTTGCTCTTACTGCCTGTTATGGATGTAGTTACAAAAGTATGCCAAGTAATGGTGAGGAACACACACCCCCCTCTTTTCTAATCCACATGAAAAACAATCCTTAATCTACCATATCATTAAAAAAGAATGATTCAAGTTAATTCTAATATGGTATGCTTAAGTTTAATAAAAGGAGCCCTGGTGGCACAACGGTTAAGCACTCACCTCCTAACCGAAAGGTCAGCAGTTTGAACTCACCAGTGGCTCTGCGGAAGAAAAGACCTGGTGATCTGCGTCCGTAAAGATTACAGCCTTAGAAGCCTTATGGGGGCAGTTCTGCTTTGTCCTATAGGGTTGCTGTGAATCAGAATAGACTCGATGGCACGCAACAACAAGAAGTTTAATAAGCTACGGATTCATTTCCTCTACAAAAACTTATTAAGGCTTACTCTGTGCTGTGCATTGCACTCAGTGTATTTTAATTTTTTATATTCGCCAGACCCTTATCTTGCACCCCCATGGCCATTAATTGTTACACGCCATTGGTTCACAAATCATTCCTTAATAATTCTATTATTTTAGAGAAGTTCACCCTGCTTGTTTGGAAACATCAGGTTTTTTGTTTGCTTTTATGTGCCATTAAAACAATGAATGTGTCAGTAGAGTTTTATTCTCTTGTACCAGTACTATGCACAGTATATCATGTAAATGGCATTTTGTTCTTGATAGCACACATTTGAATTAGATGTTTTGGCTAAAATAATGTGCTTGAATGTCTTCATCTTTAATTAATGCTTCAGAAAGTAAAACTCCTAAATGTAGTAATAAAATGTGTTATAAGAATAATAAACCATTGAAACAAAACAGAAATGTGCATATTGTATAGTTAGCATAATTGTGATTGGTTTTGTCCACTGAATACGTGATGCGCGTAAGGCCTATCAGTCTATACAGAATGTGCACGATACTCTTCATTTCATCCTGTCTCCTCACACAGCTCCATTGGCTCACAGGTGGTACAGGAAGGAAATACAGCTCCAGTCATCTTTGACCCTTTCCCTCCACTCCTACATCTGTTCAGTCGCTACCTTGTTGATGGTGCTTCCTAAGCCTCTATTCTCTCTTCCGTATCCTCACAGCTACTCCATAAGTTCAGGTCCTTATCATCTCCTGCCATGACCTTTCTAACAGTTCTCCTGCTTCCAGCTTCTTTCCTTTCCCTTCCTGTGCACCACCAAACCAACCGTTATCTCTGAAATGCAAACCTGCTTACAGGGCTTCAGCAACTCCCTGGTACCTGCTGGCAGAGATCCAAACTCAGGGGCATTGTGACCAGTGCTTGTCCCGATCCTGCCCTGGTTTACTTCACAGCCTAATTACCATTCCCTTTTATCCGCCCTTTTCTCTACCCATGGGAATGTCTTGTGGTTCCTTCTGTTGCCACCCTCCACCACCCTTCCATGCCTTTTTGCATACCTTCATGTCAGTGCACATGCTTTTCCTTCTGTTCAGCCCGTGTCCCTGCCCTTTTGTTCCTCCTTTACTCCACCCCATCCTTCAAGTGTGCAGCTCAGAAGCCTATAGCCTCTATGAGGCCTTCCTTGGTGAGCTGTTCAGGAATCTAGTACTTGGGTTCTCTGGTGCCCTCAGAGCGCTCTGCAATGTTCTCTGAGCCTCATGCTGTCTGTCTCCTGGACCACATGCTCAGAATGCAAGAGCCTTGTCTTACCTTGTGTCTTTAGTGCCTTGCACAAGTGCACAGTCGGTGCATAATAAACATCCAAATAAAGAATGATCTGTTATTTGTCAAGGAGGAAACTTAATAGAACATCAGTTTTCAGACCAGTGTGTTAGCACATTCTGATGATGTGTTCTGCTTTTCTTCTTTGGAGACCAAAGTTTTTAATGCTTGAAAAATAAGATTATTTACAAAATGTGCTGTATGTGTGCATTTTAAAGGCAAGCCACATGAAGCTGTTAAAAATATAAATGGGCACATTTTTGTATCTTTATTTCACCAAGATAGAAAACCCAAGTGGAAAGAGAACTATTAATAGAAAGAAACACACTCTTTCCCTCAGGAAAAGAATGTTTTCATCACAGTTACCCTTAGTACATTAGTAAATATTTTTAAGGCAAATAAAAATGCTCTTATTTTTAATATCCAAAGAATTCTTAAAAGAAATAAAGCTTTTTTTATAATAGAAAATACATGGTGAGCTTTATACTTGGTAACTACTTATAGAATCCTATAGAATAGGATTGATTAATGATTGTTCTTTATTTGAACAGTGTAATAGCTTATTCGGTGATAGTGGGAGCATTAATGGCAAGTGGAAAAGAAGTAGCAGGAAAAATTCCGAAAGGGAAGGTATGTTGGAGTTGGAATGGGAGAGTGGTTGTGTGTTACATCTCAATCTGGGAATTTTTATTTTAGCATGACTTGAACAGATTTCAAACTAAGCCTGTCTCCTCCATATTTAATCACGTTTCTAAATTTCTCTTGTTTCAGTTAGTTGACTTTGAAGCTATGACAGCCCCTGGTTCAGAGGCCTTTAGCAAAATAGCTAAAAGCTGGATGAATTTGAAAAGGTAACTACTTGGTGGGGGTGGACAAAAGTGTATTATAACCATGGACTCTGGGGACATCTACATCAGTTGGCACAATGTAATTCTTAAAGACAATGTTCTACATCCTACTTTGACGAGTAGCATCTGGGGTCTTAAAAGCTTGTGAGTGGCTATCTAAGATACAACTATCGATCTCTTCTAGTCCAGAGCAGAGGAGAGGGGAAAAAACTAAAGACTCAAGGGAGCAATTAGTCCAAAGGACTAATGTACCACATGAACCACAGCCTACATGACCCCGAGACCAAAAGAACTAGATAGTGCCTGGCTACCACTACTGACCGGTCTGACTGGGATTACAATGGAGGGTCTCAGACAGAGCAGGAGAAAAATGTAAAACAAATGATCAAATTCACAAAAAAGACCAGACTTACTGGTCTGGCAGAGACTGGAGGAACTCCCAAGACTATGGTCCCTGGATACCATTCTAAATCAGAATTGAAGCCATTCCTGAAGTTCACCTTTCAGCCAAAAATTAGGCAGGCCTATAAGATAAACAGTAACACGGATGAGGAACGTGCTTCTTAGATCAATCAAGTATACGAGATCAGATGGCCAACACCTGCCCAGGAGCAAAGACGAGAAGGCGGGAGGGGACAGAAAAACCGAACAAATGGAGACAGTGAACCTGGGGTGGAAAGGGAAATGGGGAGAGTGCTGACACAATGCAGGATTGCAGCCAGTGGCAAGAAATAATTTGTGTATAAATTTTTTGAATGAGAAACTAATTGGCTCTGTAAGCTTCACCTAAATCACAATTTTAAAGAAAGAAAAATCAATGACGTATTGGGCAAAGATGCTGCAAAAGAAATCTTGAAAGTGTTAAAAAGCAAAGATGTCACTTTGAGGACTAAGGTATGCCTGACCCCACCCATGGTATTTTCATTCGCTTTATATACATGTGAAAGCTGGATAATGAATAAGGAAGACCAAAGATGAATTGATGTCTTTGAATTATGGTGTTGGCGAAGAATATTGAATATACCATGGACTGCCAGAGAAAGAACAAATCTGTCTTGGAAGAAATACAGCCAGAATGCTCCTTAGTAGCGAGAATGGCAACACTTCGTCTCAAGTACTTTGGACATGTTATCAGAGGGGACCAGCCTCTGGAGGACAGCATCATGCTTGGTAAGGTAGAAGGTCAGCGAAAAAGAGGAAGACCCTTGATGAATTGACACTGGCTGCAACAGTGGGCTCAAACATAGCAATGATAGGATGGCATAGGACCAAGCAGTGTTTCATTCTGTTGTGCATAGGGTCCCTATGAGTTAGAACCAACTCAATAGCACCTAACAACGATAGAAAATGTAGACTAACACATGTGGCTTGCATTATAATTTATTGAATAGCACTGGTCTATATGTTAAAGGTGCATTTCCTTCTTAGTTCTTATGATACATGTATTAAAGGCATAAAGAAGTTTATCATGATGAATATTATAATGATAAATAGCATAAAATAGCAAAAAAAAAAAAAAAAAAAAGTGTGTTATACTGAAGAGGGGTAAAATGACCTTCCTATGTCTTTACGGAAAGGAGCCCTGGTGGCACAATGGTTAAGTGCTTGGCTGCTAACTGAAAGGTCGGCGGTTCAAACCTACCCAGCGGTTCCATGAAGGAAAGAACTGGTGATCTGTTCCCGTAGATATTACAGCCTGGGAAACCTTATAGGACAGTTCTACTCTGTACGTGCGGTTGTTATGAGTCAGAACCAACTCGATGGCACACAACAACATTACTTCTGAAATTCTTGTTGACATCTTTAAAAGGTATTATTATACAGTGAGTTTAATTCACTCTTTCAAAGTTAAAATGTTTTGCTGTCACATAAGATCCTTTAAAGCGTAACCACTTTCTAGATTTGGAGAAGGTGGTACTGTATTGTAATTTCAGCAAGAAATACATGTGAGTCAGTGACTACTTGCTGGTAATTATCCCTGACTGTTACTGTGGGAGGAGACCAGCAGATGCTGTGATATTTCCTAGCTCTTGTTTCCAGAAGTGTGGGATGGGATTGTGTGAATTTGAGGTAGAATTAAGCATACAGATGTTTTAATATTTAGTAAACAACAACAACAGCAAAACTTGCCAACCCCATTGCCATCGAGTCAATTCCGACTCATAGTGACCCTATAAGACTGGGTAGAACTTCCCTTATAGGGTTTCCAAGGCTGTAAATCTTTATAGAAACAGACTGCCACATCTTCCTCCCGCAGAGCAGCTGGTGGGTTGGAACTGCTGACCTTTCAGTTAGCAGCCAAGCACTTAATCACTGGGCCACCAGGGCTCCTCAGTAAATAACAAGCAGGTCTTAATATTTGACCTTACTTATTCTTGTTCCTCCTCTATGTTTTTTACATCCATCCACCTGCAGTTTTTCCTTTCAAATCTATTTGACATAGCAACCACTCTTATAATATCAGTCAGTGTTCTCCAGGGAAACAGAATCAATAGGAGATATATATATATATGTGTGTGTGTGTGAGTATATATGTGTATATATATGTATACACACACACACATATATATATACTGTCTCCACTTAGCCATACTTAATCTCCAAATAAAAACAATAATAAAATTATACTTCTTTATAAGAGAGAGAGATTGATTGGTTGATTGGTTTTAAGGAATTAGTTCACATGATTGTGAGGCTGGCAAATCCAAAATTCATAGGGAAGGTTGGTAGGCTAGAAACTCAGGAAAGAGTTGATGTTGCAGCCTTGAGTCTAAAATCTGTAGGACAGGCCGGTAGGCTGGAAACTCAGACAGGATTTCTATGTTAAACACTGGAGGCAGAATTTTTTCTTCGTCTGGAAACCTCAGAATTTTGTACTGAGGCCTTAACTGTTTGGATGCAACTACCGACATCGAAGGTAATCTCCTTTACTTAAAGTCAACTGATTGTAGATGTAAATACCTTCATAGTAACATCTAGACTAGTGTCTGACCGAACAGTTGAGTATGATAGCCTAGTCAAGTGGACACAGAAAATTAACCATCACACTGGGTAACTTGTGTTCTGTTTAAAACTGTAGTCCACTGTTGCTCAATTTGTCAGCATTATATTCTTTGTAATTAAAATTTCCAGCAGTTATGTCTTACCCTGTTACGTTCTTGTTTCAGGTTTACTAGTTTGCACATTTTTAAATAATATGACCATAAGGTCATGCTTCCTTTTCTTACGTAATTTTAAAGTGTTAATCTTTCAGCGATTCTTTTAGAAGAGAATAGTAACACTATCTTGCATTGTACAGTTAACATTTCTCAAAGCGCTTTGACATATATTAACTCAGTCAATGCTTATGATAACTCTGTGAGGTAAAAATACTGTCCCTGTGTTTACAAATAAGGGAAGAGGGGTTAGAGAAGTGACTAAAGCTAATAAGGAGCCAAGTTGGAACCAAGACTTGTATCTTCTGATTCAAAGTCATGTATGTTTTGCACTACACAACAGTGACATGTGGTATGTAGCGACTGTATAAATCAGAGAGCTTAGTTTTCTTTCCCAGGGACTCTGGTTCAATTTCCAAGAGGGCCATAATTTTTTGTTGCTGTTAGTTGCCATCAAGTCAGCTCAGACTCACGGCGACCTTATACATAACAGAACAAAACGTTACCTGGTCCTGTGCCATCTTCATGATCGTTGATATCCCAGTTCATTGCTCTAGAAGGCATCTGTTCTCTTCACAACTCTCTTCCCTACTGTTCTGATATCATTTGATATGTTATACATATGGAGCGTTGGAAAATGAATTTAGTAGTAGGAATAAATATAAGCTTTGCCTTTTTTTGGAAAATTGTGTTAATTTTCATGCCTCTTCTCTGTTTTTTTCTCTTTCAGTATTTCTCCTTCTTATAAGACTCTACCATCAGTATCAGAGACGTTTCCAATGTTAAGATCAATGATTGAGGTGCTAAACACAGACTCTTCTCCACGTTGTCTTGAGAAACTCTAGTTACTCTATAGTATTTATACAAGTAAAGGGCCGGGACCTCTTGCTTCTTAAGTTATTTTTTAAAAACATGGAATTATACAGAAATTAGGTCCTTTATTACTTTTGATACCAATTTTTGATAGGAGTTGAATACTTGAAATCATTTTCTTTACTTTTCTGAACCATAACAAAAATCATGAAAGAAGGTTTTTAAGGGGTGAAGAAAGCTATATGTATGGGAGGAAAAGTAAACGTACTGGCCAGTGGCCTGCTGGTTTCCACTTGTAAAAGTCATAGGACTATTTCCTTACAGCAAAAAAAAGTTTACTTCAAAGACCAAAAAATTAATAATTAAAATAAACAGAACCAACAACAAAACAAGAGTATTCTCATTCCTTTAAAGATGTGGATATTCTTTCAAAGACTTTCATTTTATGCACTTTGTGAGAGTGTCTTTTTTCAGCTCATGTATGTGGTCTCTGTTTTGTTTGACTGTGAAAGATTTGGGGGCCATTGATGACTCACACAGCCAGGAACACTTACTGTTTGTGACATAGACAGTATTTGCCAATGACCAAACACTGAATTATTGGATTGTGTGTTTTTTTCTTTATTGGGGGGAAAAAAAAAAAGGGTGATTTCTATAAATCACCAGTTTTGATACTGGATTGTATATGTTTTTATTTTGTGAACTAGTTTCACTTTCAGATACAAGAACATTCAGAAAGTTACTGATTTTTTTTTTCAGACAGGGTAGATGATGATGAATGAGTAAAATTGGTTAATTAAAATGTTGCCATTTCCAAATCATTTTCATTTTTTGTTCTTTGATTTTTGTTAAGAGTTAAACTGTTCACTGTAGTTTAGTTTTTTTCCATTCAAAATTTTGCATGAGAGCAGCGTGACGATGCCTCCTAGAAAAGAGTCTATGTTCATGGTGGTTTAAATGGTGCTGGGCATCAGCAGAGGTATCTGTACATCTTGGTAGAATGTAGCACCTTTGGTCAATTCCCAACATTCGTTGGACTTGCCCTTGGGCAGATGCTGTTCTGGGCAGTGACAAAGACGTGGTTAATGTTCTCATCTCGTTCGGGTAACCCCTGAAGGAGAAGGGGATGCTGACATAAATCATTAGGCACACCTTATTTTATGAACAGATTCCACATCCATAGATTACCTTCTCCTGAGTCTAAGCCTGTGCTCAGAAAGAACAAGTGTCTTTATTTCCATTTTACAGAGGGGAGGTTGGGGACCTGGGAAGTCAGTGACTCTCCAGGGTCACCCAGCTGTTTATAAGGGATAGTGCTGGGATTCTAAGCCAGTCTTCTCTGACACTATGGCCAGCCTGTCTGCACCACCATGGCCCTGGGGAACCAAGGATTTAATTCTCAGACTCTTCTCAAGACCCAGAAAATACTAAACAATTTACCTGCAATATCTCATGTATCTGTTACGTTTCTTTGCACTCTAACATCATGATGTTTCGATCACACTTGTCCACTAGAAGACTTTTAAAACTAAAACGGAGCTGCATTCAGATATGCTCTGCAGGATTGCAAAAGCAAGATGAGAATTGCAGAGGTTAAACATAGTATAAATGAATAGGTTTTTTAAACATTTCCCTCGCTTCACTTATTTCACAAAGTCAAAATCCTTCAGTTTTATCAAGAACTTTCTTCACTTTATCACCAGCTTCTTAAGATTTTAATGTGAGATCCCCATTTTTCAATTAGGGAAATGGTATACATAAATTATAACTATATATATATTCAAAATATATATATATTCAAAAATATAACAATTTGTCTAAACCCCAGAATTAGAATATGTTTTTCTTGAAACTTTGAAACTCCAAATCATTATATTTCAGTTTGTATTTAATTAGCCCAGTTTCTTCTCATGCAAGTAATATAGCTGTCACATCATTGCAAATACTGGGAAACAATGTGCTAAATTCTATGATTGTAAGATGTTCTGGAAAAACATTCCATCTTCTGACCTAGATCACCAAATTGAATGTGGTATGAACAAAACATTAGGAGCAGTTTTATCTGGTGGAAGAGAAGATGACCCTGTTGGCACTCCAGTTCCATCTCAAGAGCCCTTATCTCAAGAAGGCCATGATGATATGAAATGCATTTTTATATCATTATATTTGAGGTTGTCTCATCACATCCTCTGTTAAATTGAGAAATTGCACTTAAAAATCAACTGTAATTTCATTATGCAAGTTGTTCTCTGTTTAAAGACTTTTTTTTTTAAACATAAGTCTATTTCTTAAAAATTGGAATTAGGTTTGCTTTTATCCTGAAACTTTTATATTGAAAACTTTTGATCTTTCTGATAAGACAAGACTGCTATTTTTGTTTTATTGAGACTTGGTTTTTATCTTGTTAAAACTTCTGACTGGTCTTCCTGCTGCTATTGTTTTAATTTCATGGCATAACACTCAGGAATCTCCCATGGCCCTGAGACCCTCAGACTACTCTCCCTCCAACTGTGATAAAGCATGTTTCAGGTACATTTCTGCTCAAGGTCCGATGAGAGTAGGAGAAGCCATATTCCCGTATTCCCAGTGCTTTGCAGATTTGTCTAATTTTATATCTGCATTTTGGTTTTCTTATACTATACTTATTGCTAGTAGAACTCCTTCAGATAATTACTTACCTACTCACTGTTGGTCTTGGGATTCCCTTACCCCCTAAAGAATTTGAAATGTGTGTTAGAGGGGAACCTAGTGCAGGAGTATAATCCAGGATTCAGCTCTTTACCTCATGGTTCATACACAGCCCATTAGCAAATCCACTCTTTTCTACCCAAAAACAATATCCATCATCCTCCTCCACTTTCTACATTTTAATTACTATTTCCCTAGTCCATTGTAATCTCTCTTGGACTATTTCAGTAGTCTTCTGACTGGTCTTCCTGCTGCTATTCTATTTGAGCCTTTCACAGTTTTCATTGCCCCTAAAATAAAATTCCATCTCCTTACTGTAGCCTACGTGATGCAGCCTCTCTCAGTTTCTCCAGCCTCATCTCGTACTACTCTTCCCCTTATCTATACGCAGTAGCCACACTCTTCTTTTTATTGCACCATCAACTCACAGAGCCTTTCTTCCTTAAGGACTTTACAGTTAGCACTGTCCAATAGAAGTTTTTGTGATGGGAATGTTCCATAGCTGTACTGTCCAGTGTAGTAGCCACTGATCACCTGTGGCTACTGAGCACTTGCAATGTGGCTAGTGTGACATAGGAACTGAATTTTTGTTTTTATTTTAATTTAAATAGCCACATGTAGGTAGTGGCTATTGTATTGGACGGTACAATGTAGAGAATTCCAAGTTAGACTTTAGAATGAATTTTTCCATAAAAATCTAAGTGATGTTCTCTGGTGGTAGTTTAATATAATTATGAACTTGATGTTATAGACTTGGCCAGGTAGCTAAGCTCTATTTGTAAAATTGTTTCTGTGGATCAAGATGACTAACTTAAAAAGAAACTGCTCTAGATCAAAACTTGTTAGTAAACTAGGAATGTTTTATTGTGGAACTTCTTTGCTGTTGAAGGTATCTGAAGGACAGGAAACTGTTCTCCAACTCTCTAGTAATTAACCTCTGATAATTTGAAAATAAGGGAGTAAGATTTATAAAGTCAATTTATGGACCAGGGCAAAGACCAGCAAAATCACTGAGAGAGACCCATGTGTCCCAGACCAGCAAGATTTGACTGTATTCATGGACATATCCTACGATTCCATAGTGGAGCTAGCAATTCCTTGCCCTAAAGTCTGTCCCTTCCCCTAGCCTTCGCTAGTTCAGTAAATGGCCCCCTTTCTACCAGTGACTCAAGCCAAATACCTAGATGGCATTCTTGATTCTGCACTGTCCCTTCCCTAGTTTCTAAATGACCACCACCCAATTCATCTTCAGCTCCTATCCAATGTATCTTAAAAATATCCCAGATCTATTTATCTCTAACCATCTCCATTGTCACCCAACCTCAAGCTATTTAAATTAAAAGCTTGTCCCTCAGTTGCACTAGCCCCATTTTAAGTGCTCAGTAGCAAAATGTGGCTGGCGGCTACCGTATTGGATAACAGATACAGAGCATCCCCATCGTGGTAGAACGTTCTATTCGACAGTGCTGCAACTCTGAAAACAACCAGCCTCCCCCACTTCTGCAATGGACAGTAATTAGAGTGGGAATCTATGTTCTTAAGCAAGGGTCCAGGTTTTGAGAGGCTCAGGGTAAGAATTGCAGCGTTTGGTGGTAGCATGGGGTGACAGAAGAGAGAAAAGAGAATCTCCAGCACCCACTTGAAGTCTTCAGCTATTACTGATCCAGTGGGCCTGGGGTTAAGCCTGGGGAATCTGCGTTTTCACAGCTCAAGTGATCCACACACAGGTGGTCCAGGAACCATATTTGAGAAACGTCAAAACAGGATGTCATGAAGCTCTACCTCTCTGCCCTGGGATCTTTTTTCCCCCCTAACTGCCATCTTGAAACCAAGAATGTTCTTGAATAATATTACACAATTAGAATTACGGTAGTCCTTTTGTTCAGCCATGTTCCCATGAATATAAAATCCCTTTAGTTCTGTGTGTTGCAAGTATAAAACTTAACAGTTAAAAAATGATCTACACAACGTGGGTATGCAAATTTATATGAAACAAATATTTCTGTATACTTGAACACAACTTAGTTTATAAGTTCCGGTTTGTACTGGCAATGTGAAATTTAACCTGTGCCCATTCAAATTGATAAAGGCTTCCTAGTCACAGGAGAACATTTAGCAGTTATCAATCTGAGTTCTCTCAGAGAAGCTCTTTGATACCCATTGGACCTAATTTTAGTTATTTCTTTCTTTTCCTCCTTTCTGTGTATTTCCTTCCTCTGAACAGATTCATTCAGAAACAGATGGACTTTTTTAAGGCTCCAGCTTATATATTTCGATCATCTAAACTGCCCTTTTATTTATTTGTTTATTCCTTTTTTCACTTTAGACAAGAGACTTTATAGTGAATAAATCCCAGCCACATACATTTGGTTCTCATTACAACATAGAACTATGTAAGATAGGAATTATTTCCCTTAAGGGGGTGCATTGTTTACCTATTGTAACAGCTGATAAATGGTGGAACCAGGATTTGAACCTGAATTTCTCATTAGAATGCAGGGAGCAATTTTTGCACAAATTTCTTGGTTTTTGACCTTGTCCACTCTCCCTGGAAAGATTTTTATGGTGAGTGAAAGGAAGGTCATGCTGTTCTTGGAACTCTTTATTTTACTTTTTAAAAGTATGACTAATCTCAATTTGTGAATTTTCCTTTGTATTAGGATTTCTTGGTTTGCAAATGACAGAAATTTAATTTCTAAGTAGCTTAAGCAAAAAGTGGAATAGTACTGTCTTTTTATCTGTCCAGGGGGGCTCTTTGCCCTGATCTGGTGCTCAAAGCTGGCACTGCACGGCTGGTTTCCATAACAGGCCCCTGGGAAATGCTTTATGTCACTGAAACAAAAGACAGCATCATCTGAATGTTAGAAGAGCTGTGGTTTGTGCCACTGTCAACATCAGAGATGAAAACCTTCTGAGTGCAGGGAGGACTTAAGCAATGGAAATGCCTTGTATAAGAGGGGAAAAAAACTTGTCAAACTCTTC